GAACAATACAACGACGAGAACAAGCATAGCACGGAAAGTTTCCCTCATAATGATGGTTTCAATATCGTATGGAAGATGAGATGTGATATTTAATTTTGCTTGTACATTAATATATAGTCCCATGGATAGGCAAAGAAAACAGCTTTCCCCGAAGTTACACTAAAGATAAAGATTCCGAGTAAGTAATTTAAAGTAGCCTCTTTTTTTATTTCGATCATGATCACTCGAGCGCGTTCTCCAAGACTTGGATTTCTTTTTGGTCCTTGTTGCTTTAAAGTCAATTTAATTGATGCTTTCATTGTCCTTTTGCCCCACCATGATAATAATATAGCTTTTACAAGTCCTATGCTACTGTTGTGCAACGTGAAGACCGGAAAAGTTTGAAAAATGGCTTTCAATTCTTGGAGATAACTATGGTTCGTGAAAACTTCTCTTTTCACCAATCAAGGACATTTTTAGTCATCATGATTTTTTTTCTTTTTTTGAAAATAGGTAATGATTTGGTCATCATGATTATGGTTTAAATATTGTGTGGAAGATTAGATATTTAGATGATTTTAATTTTTTTTTCTCTGATAATGGATGATTTTATTTTTATTTCTTTTGATGGTCGGACGATTTTAATTTTGGTTGCATATTAATATTATAATGGCAAACCTTAAGCTCTTGAACTTATCCTATTCTTTGACACGAGCCCCTAAACTATCTTTTTAGACTTATAAACCCTTAACTCATCTATTTATGCCAGAAGGGAAACCCTTTGTTAATTGTTCCGCTGGTTTCCGTTAAAAAATCTAATCACAGCAGTCAAAGAAAAGGGTTAAATTGTAGTTTAGTCAATGTACTTTCATATTTAACAAAAATAAGTTCTTTTATTTTTAAATAAAATTCATTAACAAATTAAAACAAGAAATAAAAAACAAATAATCCTATGATTAAAAAAAAAACAAAAGCAGCTTCAACATGGTTTCCATGTCACAAGTCTCGATAAATTTGTTCAACATCATATTTCCAACGCATCTTAAAGTCAACTTAAAAAAAAAAAGATTATAGTGAAATAAATTTTTGTTGTTCAACTTGTTCTTTCTAAAAATTTAGAGATCCATATATATATATATATATATATAAATATATATATATAATGATATTCTTGAAAGACTTAATTTGATAAACAATTTAGTAACTTTTGTATTTTTTTATTTCATCTATCATCTTTAAATACTTTTAAATTTATTTATTATTTTTTACTTTTATTTTAGTTTAGTCTAATGTATTAACTTTCCGTTAAAAAATACTTACATGGCAAATAGAATCCTGGTGTCACACATTAAAAAATAAATAATTTGTCTCGATTTATAATTTAGAAGAACATTTTGTCGTTGCATTTTTTTAGGGATGGGTTTGTCTCTGCCCTCTATTTGAGTTGTGGATTTAAGAGTTTTGTCTTTATTTTTTTTTTTAATCTTTTTATTGTCCAAAAATATATAAAATATTAATTAAAAACATATAATGTTAATATTTACAAGCTG